AGTATTTCTACTGTAACCCATTCCATTTGTGCTTGAAGAAAGAACCTGTCTGCACGTGCTCATTTCTGAGTGGTAACTTTTTGTGAAAGTCACACTTCACCTTGTTTTTTGGGAACAAATTTCTTTTTGGTTAGAAATTACACAACATAAATATATATTGGGAGGTTCTAGCTCCAAAACGATTTTACAATGAAAATGCAGGATATTAAATCCAGCACAAGGAAACAGACTGAGAAACCAGAGTAAGTGGTTTACGGCAACCCGCACCCCATGTACTGGATGAATGAAGTCTCTCGACATTATCATTTCTCAGAGATATGTGTATGTTAAAGCCAAAATTCACTTAGCTTCTTGGGAGCACAAAGCTTGTTTTCAGTTGGAAACTACTCAACATACATATATGTGGGTAGGTACTATCGCCAACTCAGATATACTGTGAAAACTGCAAGTACTTCAAACTTTCACTAGGAAACAGTCTTAGAAATCAGAGTAATTGTATCTACTGCAAACCGTTCTCTTGTTGCTAGTTGAATGAACGACTCTTCACATGTTCATTTCTGAGAGATACGTGTGTGTGAAAGCCGTCCTTCACCTAGATTGTAAGGAGCACAAAGATGTTTTTTTCATAGGAAACAACCATACATACATAAATACGGGTAGATTCAAGCTCCAGTGTGGTTTTACAATGAAAACTGCAGGAAATTGAAACCAGCAATAGGAAACAAACTGTGAATTCAGAGTAAATATTTCTCCTGACATGGGTTCCATTTATGCTAGAAGAATGAACGTCTCTCCATATGCTCATTTCTAAGACATATCTCTTTTTGAAATCCGTCCTTCACCTTGCATGTTAGGATCAAAAAGTTTCTTTTCATTTGGAAACAACAATACATACCTTTATATCAGAAAGTACTAGCTCCAAATCGGTTTTACAGTGAAAACTGCAGGATTTCAAAATGGTACTATAAAAAAGACTCGAAACACAGTAATTGTTTCTCTGGCAAACAGTTCCATTTGTGCTCGATGAACGAACGTGTCTCCACATGCTCAGTTCTGACAGATAGGTTTTTGTGAAATCCGTCGTTCACCAAGCATGTTAGGAACAAAATGATTCTTTTCATTTGGAATTTACAATACGTAGATATATATGGGTAAGTTCTATCTCCACCTCTGTTTTACAGTGAAAACTGCAGGAACTTCAAACCGACCCAAGGAAACAGACTAAGAAATTAGAGTAATTGTATCCCTTTCACACGGCTCCCTTGGTGCTAGATGAACGAACATCTCTCCACATGCTCAATTCTAAGAGAAAATAGTGTGTGAAAGACGTCCTTCACCTAGCATGTTGGGAACACATAGTTTCTTTTCACTACGGAAGAACACTTGTTATGTATATATGCGGACATACAAGCTCCAACACGGTTTTTCATTG